TTGTATTGCTCAAATATTAATACATGCAGTAAAAACACGTATTGCATAATGCAGTCATGAAAGCTAGCTCATACATCCTTGCTCACAAAGTGTTTCCTATGAAATGTACGTTTGTACGTTTCTAGATTAAAGCTAAGGAAACCTGTAATATTTGAATGTTTCAATTAAACATTCTCAAACATAAACTTCTCAGAATTTAACTATAAATTCTATTTAATTAATAATTATATTTATTTAATTTAGCACATTTCAGGTCAGCACTGTTTCACTTGGAGTGTTTTGTATGTTTTTAGTGCAGTATCCATTTTACAAATATCGCTTGATTAATCGGTTATCGGCACGTACGGTCAAATCTACTATCGGTCAAATCTACTATCGGTCGACGTCTAACGGTGTCGGCCCACGGCTGGTGTGTGTGATCCAGATCTGGGCCGTCAGTGTGTCTGTCTGGGTAGTGGAGAAAACATGGAGACAATGGAGACATTTATAGGAGCGTCACACAAAAAAAGACTTAGTTAAAAATGAAAAATGAATGTTAAAAATTTGAGATTTTTGTTGAACTTTAGTAACTTTGGGAAAATGTCTTTAGTAACACTTGAGTAATTACTAGTTAGTTCCAATGATCTTCACTTTATAATACGGATCCAAATAATTAGTAATTCCCACAGAAGTATCTATTACACTTTCATCTGTGAGCTATTACTTACTAATTCATTAATAAGAGTTTCTTTTAGTTAATAGTAGTTACTAGATTATTAATACACTTTTTCAGTAGTTCTCTGGGAAGTATTAAAAAAAGTAGTTATTGATTACTTAATAGTGAACTACCACTTTCGTCTGTGCGCTATTACTTACTAGTTCGTTAATCAGAGTTTCTTGTTAGTTAATAATAGTTAATATTGTGTTACTCATTAGTTCTTGTGTAGTTATTCATTAACGAAGGAAGAGTATGTGTGTGTTTCATACTGCTCGTTGGGCGTTGCTAATAATATGATTCTACATAGTTTTTGAACTCACTTAAACCCATTAAAACAGCATTCCCTTGCTTTATGTTACATACATCTAATTAAAGTAGGTTACAACAACAACATTAGAATTTACAGGTAGACTCTTTAAAGCACCGCACATGTTCACATAGTACAGTGATCTTGATTTCAGATATTTTACTCACTGCATTTCTCCATTAGCTGATTCCTGTAACTCTGACGGGATTTCCAGTTATAAGCCATTCTGAGAATTTGTGACACGCATTGATTTGTGACACATAAGATGAAGGACTCTGATGGAAGCTAATACACTCTCTGTTCTTCACAGAAAATGAGTCAATGGACACAACAAAGACTTCATTCTGTCACAGGAAGCGGAGCGAGAAAGGTCAGAATCAGAGACGGTCACAGATGAAGATCGAGGCATGGATATTTGGTGAATCGTGCCCTGCTTTGCACTTTTCTCCAACACTAATCTGTCTGTTCGTTTGCACTGAATTAGTTCTGTATTCTTGATTCCCACTGCTATGTTAATGCACGTACGGCGGCCAGGATCTACACGTACCCGTCGACAACCGACATTTTAAAAATGATACAATTATTAAAAAAAGATCTCCTTAAAGAAATCGTTCACCCGAAAATGGAAATGTCTTCATTTACTCGTCCTCATGTTCCACCCAAAAGCTATTTTGAAGAATGATTCAGCTGTTGTGTTGTGAATATGACTTGACTGGTCTTTCCCTGGACGTCCCACAAACAGGCCAGCACAAGAACATGTGGAGATGTCCGGTTCAGAGATCAGCCTCCTTCTGGTAGATATGACATATTTTCACATGGATTTTGATTGGATCTGTTAAATATCAACAATATATAACAACAATACTTTTAAATAAGTCACTTTTTGGTTCATACTATATATGATGTAAAATGAGCAATATTTTAAAACATTAATCCTGTTAATGGACACGACAAACACAAAAGTTCCTACTAATGCAGGGCTGCCAACTCTCACGCTCTCACGCCACACTCCTGATTTCTCAAGCTGATCAAGCCTGAAAGATGAGTTTATCTATAGGTCTATCTGTTGAGGCACTCGCGATCCACTAGTTTTACCGCAAATTAGTTAAAATATCCTGTAATCTTATCTAGAGCGAGTGTGCATGCGAGCTCCTAACCGCACGACGTCAGAGAGGTAAGCGAGACGCGACCCAAACACACCCGCTGTTGGAGAAATCACACGCCAAGCTAAACTGAAAAGTTGGCAGCTCTGTACTAATGAACTGATTTGAACTAATGAGAACAAAAACATGACAACATTTCAATTTTGATATTATATGTAGGTGTCAAAATATTCAGGTCACGTGACAAGAACCAGCCGGAGCGCAACCGCCCTAGAGCTTTGGAAAAAGGCGCCTTGCGTTTTTAGGCGCTATATGTGAATGGTGCCTAATACCCTAATGAAAACCTTCACTTGCCTAATAATGAAAAACGACACTTGCATGAACACTTGCTTGGTTAATTGACATTCTTTTAGCCTAACTAGACTATTTACAGCAAGGAAAATAGTTGAATGACGGTGGATTATGAACTCGCCAAAATGGAAAAGAAAGCCCAACTAGACGCAGGATCAGTTACTGCTGCTGACCCAGTTGGTGCTAGAAAAAAAAAAAAACATAATAAAAGTGAAATTCGGCACTGGGCAAAACTAAGCGTGACATTGGGAGAGGATTAGTTTGACACGCTCATTATTTTTAGGAGCTGCTCCTAAATTCGGCAGTTAGGAGCTATTTTTAGCCTTAAAATACGGCCCCTGGTCTATTCAAGCGACGGCACCCCTCCTCATCCTCCTCCTCCTCATCATCCTCTGAGTGATACACACTGACTGACCTGAGGAAACCTTTTACGTGTGAATATCTCAGCAGTTATTATGCGTGTCCTGTATTTCTGTCGACTGAACCAGCCATCATTCGTGAATTAATCATTCTTTTGGTTGGATTCAGAACACGCTTAACATAACGTTCTGAAACTACCGGGACTCGTTCGGACCGCTGTGACACTGGATCATCATCTGAAGCGGTTCCTCAGTCAGAGTTGTGTTATCCCAGACACCATTATTAAACAGCATGGCGACAGCTAGAGGGAAGCGTTTCAATTCGACAGACACCTCTGTTACAAACCACACGTCACTCGATGGTTCAACTAGTTTTAAATGGGATGAAACAGCCTCAACATTCCCAACACGACTGATGAGGAAAGCCGGAGAAACACTGAGTCATCATCTCGACTTTACCAACCTTTCCCAACATTTACCATGACTGTACTGTATCATTTACCATCGTTTGGGCAGACATGTGGAATATTTATATTCAATTTATTAGATGGGTAGAGGAATATATAATAATTTTTCAGTTTCTCCGTATGGTTGTTAACCTGTGTGCAGGCATGTGTAAAACAGTGGGAGTGAGTAGCCTGTGGTTTATATGTAAGCATAACAACTTAAAATAATTATCATTTCTTACCAATAGCTATGAGCTTGTGTAATTAACGTATTTGTTCCAAGGAAATTGTTTTTATTTATTATGGTCTTATATATCTGCATTCTGCTTACAAGTAAATAAGCGAAACCCCCAAACCAACCCACCGGCCCACCTCAACTTTTCCACTGGATAATCCGGCCCTCCAATGAAGCTGAATAGCCCTCATATAGGTTGTAATAACATTAAGAAATAAATGTGTGAATTAATCAAGGCATTTTTGGAAACTGTAGGGTATATAACAGAGTTCTCATTTAGTTTACTTCTGGATTAATCATCGTCTACATCAGGGTTCATCCGAATATAGATATGGGTCATTATGCTATTACACTTATAGATAATACACAGCATTAAAGCGCTCTTAGAAGCAGACGTGAATTTCTCTAGGAGAATACAGCAAATAGTTCATAGTTTTGCTTTCACATTTGCGCTAATAGCAAAAGAAAATAAAAAAATCACAATAGCATTTTCACAACTTTTCCAAAAAGGAAAAAAAGGAGTAATGAGGAAAAATATGACAAATCTACAGTCACTCCCTCAGCCAATTATTATTATTATTATTATTATGTTATTTAATACTCAGATAAATAACAGTGCAGCACCCTATTTATTGTGCCAGATTTAATTATATGATGGGATGCTTGTGATTCAGCATTTTACCGTAATATAACTGAGGCCAGTCAAATCAAGGACACACTAAGCTTTGACAATCCTGGAGAATCAAAATTAGAAACTTTAAAAGATTTTAAAGATTTTTTTTTATGTAGCTTGGGCTACATCATAACATGCACATAAAGAAACAATGGCTGAGGTCGTTCACCTGCTAGCGACACACACACACACACACACACACACACACTGATAGGCGGGGTGGCAACTAAAAATCAGAGCACATTGCTGAAATAATATGGCATTTTTAACCGATAAAGATCTGTTCCTCACAGTAAACTGATGTTTTTTTTTAAAGAAGGGTATTATACAGTATTATGCAGTGTTATACAGTATTATACAGTATTATACAGTATTATGCAGTATTATACAGTATTATACAGCAGCAGGATCCCAGTTACTGACTCCAGGTTGCATTACGTATCAAACTAACAAGCTTTCTTTTCACCAGATTTTGAATTGAACAGAATAGAAAGTGCCCTGCTTCTGCACTAATATACTTACTCGTGGACCCATGTTTGTGATGAAAATCATTCCATCAAAATAATCTCCAATTATTGAACATATTAACAGACTGTAATGATTTCTTTATTTAAATATCACCATTTCTGATAACAGACAATAGTTTCATCAATCTCCAAGAGTGCAAGTTCTGAATCGGCCACACTCCCTCACTGATGTGAACACACACACAAGGCCAAGGTGTGTTCGAGCTGCGTTCGGCCCCTAATGACTGAGGTATCACCATCACACACACACACACACACAGCAAAGGCACAGTTTTTGTTTCTGAAACGATCATGTGTCTTACCTTTGCAGGTATTGTGAAGGTCTTGGACCGAAGACAGCTTCTATGTCGAGGTACGGTCACGGTGACACGCCTTGTTCTCTGCTTCTCTTCTGTCTTTCTCTCTGTTCATGCCATCCAATGGGTGAAGCCCTGCCGGATGCTGCAGTGAGGGAGAAACACACCCTTCACCCTCCTCCCTCCTCAGCATGAGCTCCGCCCACACTCCTCTGATTGGCGGATGAGTGGAGGTGACATCATCTCTTTCTCTGTTCTGTCTATCCCTCCCCGCTGTCTCGCCACAATGGAGAGGTCTAAGCGTTTCCTCTGATTCGTGTCCGTACCCCTCAGAGCACCCCGACTCTCCGAGGTGTTTTTCTCCACTGCATTAATTGCCGTTGGCAGGTCAACATCACCTTGGCTCTTTGTTATGTTTACCCATTTCTGACGCATTCTCATTACTGCAATACCTAAATAGTAAAATATCATCTAAACTGTACAATATTTATACACAATAACAGTAGTGCTTTTTTGTAGGAATATAAAAATATGCATTATGTTTGCAATATGAGGAAAAATCAATTCATAGAAATAATTCAATTACGCAAAGAATCGGGCCAATTTTATTTTTTCTTTCGTTTTGGTTGAAAATGTGGGCTGGTTATGTGGCATTGACCCTTGGAGTTTTTGCTTTCCTTTGAGTTAAAATGATGATTATTGGCTTTAAGCTGAAATTCCATCCATCTATATTTAGAGGTCTGCAGAATATATCATTTTGTTTTCTCAAAACCAATACTGTAATACAGTATGATTTAAAGGAACATGAATAGGCTTGTGAAAACACAATATGCACAGAGACCCCCCCCACACACACACACAGGCCATCAGGAGCAGATGGAGCGGGTGTGGGGTAACGTACACACACACACACACACACACACCAGTGCTAGCTGAACACACGCGGAGCAGGGTTTGCTTGTGTGGCCACTTATGTTTGTTTCTGGGAGGTTTGGATTGATTCAGAGTCTCCTTTGGTATTTGATAATCTGATAATCTGATAAGAGAAGACGACTCTCTCAAGGGCCCTTCCTTCTCTCTCTACATCAATAAATCTCTGTATTGCACTTAACGTAAGCCCAGAACTATTGTTTGACAGCATCTGTCTGGCTCCGTCCCTCCTGTGCCTTTACCGGAACAGTCACAACAACAAGCAATCAGCATCCACTGAAATACATCTCAAATGTTATATTTGAACAAAGTCATCAGTATTTTTGTCTTGTTGTCCACTAAAAATGTGTAAACATCCATAAAACTAGAGATCCCATGTTTGAGCCAGAGTCTAATCCCAAATTAGAAGACAAACCTACACCTCAAATACCGAGGATCCTCCAGTCTGTGACAGCTTGGTAAAGTATCGTCTCTATTTATATTCATTCCATATGATACACTCAGCTCACGATACGATATGCATCACGATATTTTGAACAAACTTAAAAAATTTAACTGAAAATCAAATTACAGATTTGTAATCACGGATATTTTTGCAAGAAAACCAACATACCTACATTTTCTGGGATCTTTGTGCATTCACAATATCCCCTGCTGTAAAAAAAAACACATTCACTAGGAACAGAAGTTGCTGGAATTGTGAGGTAAGCCTTTGCAAGAAGTGAAATGAGTGGGTACATGTGAGCATTTCCTTTCCACCATTACAGTGGACAGCTAGTGAGGGGAATAGAAGTGTCCTTTCTGTACACATCAATCTCTCCTTCTATCCTACTCTTGGACTGGGGGACTGGTGGCCGAAAAAGAAATCTTCAAGCCCAGAAGTGTCCAAGCAACACAGCAGTAATGACTTTATGAATTTCTTCACTTATAAGATTGATAGTATCAGGGACAAAATTATAACTACGCAGCCGTCTACTACAGTATCGCAGCAGGGGGTGCATTGGTGACTCCCTGAGGAAAGATTTGGTTCATTTGCTGCTATAGAAGAGGAAGAATTTTGCAAACTCGTTAATTCATCTAAATCAACGACTTGTATGCTAGACCCTATACCAGACTAAACTACTGAAAGAGATGCTTCCAGGGGTTATAGATCCTCTTCCTAATATCATTAATTCGTCTTTGTCGCTAGGATACGTACCAAAAACCTTTAAGCTATGATAAAACCGCTTGTTGAAAAAACACAACTTGATCCTCCAGAATTAGTCAATCACCGGCCGATCTCGAACCTGCCTTTTCTGTCAAAGATACTGGAGAAAGCAGTATCCTCACAACTGTGTTCCTTTCTGGAAAGAAATGATATCTGCGAGGATTTCCAATCAGGATTTAGGAAACATGGCATTAGCTTTCATAGGAGTTGGCATTAGTTATGCTGATGTACCCAGCTGTATATTTCGTAACTTTCAAAATGAAACTTAACCAACTCACAAAATTAACGGAATGCATTGCTGATATAAAAACTGGATGACTAGTAATTTCCTACTACTAAATTCTGAAAAAACAGAGATTCTAATTAAAAAACGTAGGAGGTAGCAACTCCCCCAAAAGCGCTTCCACCACGGTTATCCTTGAAGTCCTCCTCTCCCAAGACATGACATTTCATTCATGTTATTATATGACTATATATAGATGTCAGTCCGATATAATGGGCGGGATTTATAATAATTGAGAATAAACGTGCACGCGCATCGCATTTACGACTGATTGATTTCATTAACACACACACACACACATTTCACTATCACATCTGACGTTTACAAAGTATTTGTGAATCAGGAGAAGAGTTTTCGGGAAGGTCTCTTTACGCACAAATCACTCTCATATTGACTCGTATATTTACGAATGTTTCATGAATGAGACCCGTTGTAAGCTTTTGAGTTTAATGCAGTCTGTATAGTACTTCCTTCTGATGTATTTAGATGGACGGCTTCCACCGCCTAAATCACAGGATTAACTGATGCAGTCACACACTCTTTCTGTCTTGCTCTATGTACAGCCTCGAGTTCTGCTACTGTTTTCAGTGAGAATGACTCATATGCATGCAAGAATAATGTTTCATCCACCATATGATGACAGGCTGAAAACCAATAAGATTACACAAACTGTCTTGATTCTTATTGAATTATCTGGTTGTTCAAATGACTAACATCGAAGGAGATGATTGCGATGTGTTTTGGTAACATCACTTGATTGTCGCATCTTATTGCATGTCACGAATTGCTCTCTGCAGGAAGGACCAGGCCCTAACAAATCAATTTAAGATCAATGTAATTATATTCCTCCTTTTAACGTTTCAAAGATTGTCTGTAGTCTAAATAATCACATATTACAGATTTAAAGTGAATTTCAAGTTTCTCCATTTGTGGTGACAAATGCTAACTTTGATAGCGTCCATACGGTTTAATTATGTTTTAATTTTTTTTTTCTTAAAATAAAATAATAAAAATTGAAGGTAACACTTTATAATAAGGTTTATTAGTTAACATTAGTTAACTAAAGATGAACAATACTTAAACAGCATTTATTACTCTGTGTTAATGTTAATTTAAACATTTATTAATACATTATTAAAATCAAAAGTTGTGTTTGTTAACATTAGTTAATGCACTGTGAACTAACATGAACATAATATAATATAATTTATTTGATTAGGATAAACCCCTTGAGATGCAACATCTCGTTTTGGAGGGGGTCCTAAAGTACATCACAGCCATCACCAAAAAACACGAATCAAATAAACAAACAACAATTACACTTATTTGACAAACAAAGTACATACAGAACCACCAAAAAAAAAAAAAAAACGAGATATGCAGAACTTTACAACCACTAGATCAAATTGGCAGAAATACATTGTATAAAGTATATATATAAGCATTCTGTGTCAGCATCATACATTACAAGAGCAGTTAGTCATAAAATAAGAAGACAAATTATGCTTAAACATCCCAAATGAAGCGATGGATCTAATATCGGAAGGTACATTATTCCAGTCTAAAGTGGCTTTAAACATAAAAGCTCTTTTACCGACTGTCTTCTTGGCTCGGGGGACAAAAATAAAGCTGAACGGAGTGCCTCAAATGATAATTTGAAGTATTAAGAACAAAATAAGAAGGGTAATTGAAGTGGATACTTTTAAATATTAGTTGAAGCCAATGGATTTGTCGTCTTGTATTTAAAGAAGGCCAATTAAGGGCAGAATACATTGTGCAATGATGCAGCTGGAATTGTATTAACTAACATTAATACATTTATTATGGTTAGTTCAAGTTAGTTAATACATTTACTAATGTTAACAAATGAGTCCTTATTGTTAAGAGTTACCAAATTAACATATAAACTATAGTGCTCATCCAGTCTTTATGCTCATAAATAAAAAATATGAATTAATTAAAAATATGCAAAAATAGACAATGTAAAATATAAAACCATTTGTCTAGATATATATACAGTTTGATAGTACAGTAAGAGCAAATGATGACTGTAGCGTGGTTTGATTGTGCATATCCAGTAAATGTCTCCATCTGCTGGTTCATCTTATTTAAACATTAGTTCAGTCCGTCCAAGGTCCTGATGATTACGACATATTTACAGACGATTTTAACATCTGCATGATTGTGATGCGAATATTTTGATGGGAAATAATTTGCTAGTTAATTTAGTTTGCACAAAATTGAAAATTATTAGAGTCCCAGTCAAACAGATACAACTGAACTAATTTGTAAAAAATAATTTGTAGTTTGCTATTGTCCAATGAAAAAAAATACAACACTTCAGTGTTGTGATGGATTAAATCTCTTGTACAGATGAAACAATGAATCGAGTCGGTGTTAGCTGACCTATGAATTCAATAAAAATTCCAGCCGGATGGGTTAAACTGCATGACCCAGCATACTGCGTTTTCCTCCCAAATATATTTATTGGCATTTACTTGCCAACATTTAAACAAAATAAAACAAACATATGAATGAATTTAAAAAAAAAAAACATAACAGGAAATCTATAACTAGACTAAAACATATAATAAAATAATAAATATACGTTTTGATACAGTTCGCCACATTTCATTGTGTAATTTTCGCTTGATAAGACCCTTATTCATCGTCTGGTGTCGATTAAAGCCCTTTGAACAAGTTTGCAGTTTGTACTGAAAGTTTCTTTTGGA